TGGCTCAACTGAGAGCAGCTGAACGTGGCCCGGGAGCTTCACTTCAAAGTGAGAAAGGTACAGATGACCTTAGCCACTGGCCTGTGACCTTACACAGTTGCTTAGCCTCATTGTAACAGCAGCCCTACCCACTAGGCATAGCCGTCCCCATTTTCCAGCCAGGAACATGGAAACCTCTGAAAAGGGGAAGGAAGTCTGGCCGAGGTTAAACAGTGAGCAAGGCAAAGCAGACCTCAAGCGTAGGTCAGGTGGACTTGAAAGCCATGTTCAACTTCTGCCCAACTCTCTCTTAAAACATTTGCCAGCTAGCCAGTGCTAGAAGCAACCCCAAAGGGAATTCTGACCTCCTCTGGCCTTCCTCTTCCTCCTTCCCTCCTCAGCTCCCTGCTGATAATTTCCCCTGGAACTACAAGGCAGTTTGTACCAAAGACCCTTACCCCACACTGATACGATGTGGCCCAACAATGTGGCTAAAGGTAGGGCCAGAGCTCAGGCTGCTTGCCACTATGGGACCCTACACTGATCCTGCAGCCTTCAGCTCATCTGAGCCCTAAAACATGCTTTGAAGTCACCAGGGCCAAAAAATATCCCCTTGACAAGAAAGAAAACAATCTAGCCCAATCTCTCCCATAACCTTCTGGTGGGCAAGGCTGGCCACCAGAATCTAGTACCACTCCTCCAGGACTGGGAAGGCTGGGTGGGTGGGGATGCTACATGGGCCTTCATGGCCAGAGCCCACCTCTCTGGCCTCAGGAACCTGTCCTCAGTGCTGGAGGTGGGAGGCAGCAAGGGTTGTGAAAGGTGCACAAAGGTGTCCCTGGGGCCGCAGCCACTTCTGACTCCCCCCCCTGCAGCCGCAGCCACTTCTGCCCCCCCCCGTGCAGTCGCTGCACGCTATACCACTGCGTGGGCCAACGAAGGATAGCTGAAGCCACTCTGCTACCAAGGAGGAGGAATGAGGGGGCAACAGTGCTACCCCCACACCTTCCCAGGGCACGTGGAAGAGAGACAACCTCAGAAACTGTATCCCTGGGCATTAGATTACAAGCCAAAGCCGATATGGAAGGGTTTCCCACTGTGGCTGCAATGCCCAATGAGGAGAGCTTCCAGGAGAACGTGTAGCTAATCCCCAGGAAGAGAGCAGGAATCTGTGTTTTGGGAGTCCGTCCCTGAAAAAGCAAGGCAATATCTTGCGTGCCCATGAACGCCCACATAGGGCCGAGGGCCTCAAGTTGTCTGGGGAGTAGAGACACACCTTACACTCCTTAGGCCAGTCAAGGGTGGCCAGAGCTTGGGTCTTCCCTTGTGGAGAGCTGAAGGGCTGCAGCTCCCTACATAGCTCAAAAGCGACCTAGGGCTAACGGCAACGGGAAAGAAGCAGACACAGGGAAAACTCTGCCTTCTGCCCATTTGCCTAAAAGCAAATGAAGACATTTACAAAGTCCCCTTTCGTCTCTACCAGAGGGACAAAGGTTGGTTTCAGAAGTCAACGCCAGGCCCCTGTAGGCCCCAGAACGGACACAGCAGAGTTGACCATGAGCCTCTGTCCACCACTAGGGTCCCCGAAGCGGCTATCCCTAGAGATCCAAGCTCCTACCCCTTTGTCATGTCACCTCTCTAAAACTCTTAAGTTTTCTGCTGAAGTCTGTCTAGGAGGGTGCTCCAGACTACCCCGGAGATTGTCATCTTGCCCGAATCCTCATTCATTTACTGCTGCTGTTCACCGGTGGGGCCGGGTGGGAGTGACTGGCATCAACTCAGAATGCTGGAGTCAGACTTCAACCTCAGCCTCCCTGTTAAGGTACCACCATAGGAACACAGTCCTGGGAGGGCCCTCACTGACATTCCTGTCTTCCATCTGTGTTGGAGGTGTCCAGTGCTGCCGAGAAGTTCTCTAACAGAGATGTAGGGCAGGAGCCTGGAGTCCCCCCACCCCCCCCAACATCAATCCTCCTCCTCTGCTGACAAAGACCCTGCCTTTTTACTTTCGCTTTGTGGGGCAGACAATGTCAGGCTTCTCAACTAGATCCTACCACCAACACACCGAATCCAAGCGCTTCAGCTGAGGAGGGTTTCCGGTGGCGGCGGAAGGCAGATGCTGCCTGGCAGACACTCCCAGTGCCTGTTCCTGTGATTTGATTTCAGTTCAGAAACCACTGAATGCGGCATAGGTGACAGCCTCCAGGACTAGAGGGACCATGCATCAAACTGCTCTGGATTCTGCTATGGGCACAGTAGAGAGTTTTTCTTTGTTTTGTTTCCTTTGCTTGGCACAGAACCACTAAGGAAGCAATGCCTTGTAGTCTGGTCTGGTGTGGAATTCTAACCGGCACCGTGGAGAGTGAAGTTAGAACCAGAAAGAGCTCAGCTCCCCCATGGCATCCAGGGAGGATGATGGAGGAACACAGGAGCAGAACACCTGTCCCTATCTTAGAAAGCTTTGCAGCCTTCCACCCGCCCCACCCTCCAGCCCCCGCATGTGTGAGCTTTCTTCTCCTGGTGCTGCCAGCCCTGCTCTGTGACTGCTGGGCCAAACGCGGCCTCCTGTACAGTACCCTAGGAATATCCCCACACTCGTCTTTCCAGCCCCTAGGGAAGGGGGACTTCCCCATGACTTGAGCTTTTTCTAGCCCAGGCCTGTATGTGGCTGAAACCCCTTGGGGAAGGATAGCTCTCCTGTTTGCACCCACTACAGGTTGTGCTTTCATAAAGGTTTGATGGTGTTGCATAGCTAGAATGTCTTCCCCAGGAACCTGCCTTGGCAATGACTTCATGGTGGTGGAGACACCTCTCTAAGTTCTTTTCTCTGGATAATTCTCAAGGGATGTATCTATCCAAGAATACACAAAATATTGGCAGAAATAACAAGCTGACCCAACCTGCTAGAAGTATTTCCCACTGTGTTATATCACATTTAAAAAAATCCCAAGCTCCACTGGTGCTCAGTGAAAGCTGAGCTATGATTGATTACCAATGTCTGTCAGTGGAGCAGGCTGGAGAAGAGTGGTCTGTATGCTGTCTTAACCTCCTTTCCTATTTCACTGTAGACTTCCATGTGCATGATCTCATTTGATCAGAAAAACACTGCAGTCTCAGGACAATTACTATCTACCTACTTACAAAAGGGAACATCAGGAACATGGAAGTTAAGTCTCTTCTTAAGTTAACCAAGGCCAGAGCCAGGATGAGAGCCCAGATGTCCTGAGTCGCAGGCCAGCACAAGGAGGATATTTAGATGAAGGGAACACTCGAGATCAACATGCTAAAAGCATTCACACGTCTTTAGGAAAATATGCTTAGTAAATCTTTCCCAGCCTTGCAGTTTGCTATTCTTTATGCATGTGCGTGGGATGCTGGCAGGAACAAAGCCTGTGGAAAGGGGATGGGCTGCCCACGCGGGAGCCGACTGCCCCTCTGCTTGCTGGTAACCGAGAGTGGGCAGGCCTGGCTCCGACTTGCTCCAATTTCATTAAATCAGCAAGGCACCCCAGGAAGAGAGAAGGGACCATGTCAGTAACATCTGCAGGGAGCTACTCTGGACAGCTATTCTGTTACCATGGAAACCCATGGCTGGCAACCGTTTCAATTTCAAGAAAATAGCTATAAACAATAATAAGCATAAATGAAAAAATGGTACACCGTCACTTTGAAATTGTACCTGTTATTGGATTTTGTTGGGCTTGGGGGCTGAGACTGCAGGCTCAGATCCATGAATCATGCCAGCCGGGTCCTCCTCAATAATCAAGTTTTCTGGACATGACCCCTAGTGAGGCATTAACCAGCAAAGCTGATGTCTGAAATGCAGGAGGAATGGGGGGAGGGGGTGCCTTGTAAAACAGCAAACGCTAGCTGTCCTGACCACAGGACAGGAGGCAGCTATGGGAAGGGACAGTGTGTGATGTTGTGACCTATGATTCCTTTATCTGGGGCTAAAAAACCCAAATAAACAAAAAACAAACAAACAAACAGCTTAGGAAGAAACCTGGTAGCAGGAGTGAGGGCTGAGCAGGGAATCTTTGCTTGGTTCTGTTTTCAAGGACTACTGGGTTTAGAGAGGACATAAAGATGCTTTGGTCCAGCCCTTTCCCCTATTCTTTCACATGATTTCTGAGTATATACTTAAACTCTTTAACCCAATTTGAAACCCAACCCCTATGGCTTCTTGTTGTGGCTAAGTCCCCTTTTGGCAATGGAAACCCTCTGGCCACATGGAGCGATTCCCATCCTTGTGCTCTCCCTGTGCCAGATGTCAGGGAGACTGCAATAGCATTCCCAAGGTGAGGGGGCATCTTTGCTAACAGTGGGCTCCGAAATGGTCCTCCTGAGACCACTCATGCCTCTGCAGGGGGGTGGGGGCTAACTTCATGCTACTCTGTCCTGATCTCCATTCTCTGGAAGCAGCTATGAAATGCAGGGGCAAAGGTCATCTGTAGAGTCTTATTCTACCAGACAGAAACACAGTGATGCTTCCTGGACCACAGAATCTTCACTGGACAGCTCAGCCAAATCAAGTCTGACTCACCTACTCATGCTCTCCCAAGGTAGAAGGTACCGCTTCTCAACTACCGAACCTCCCCAAGGAGACTCAAGGTTCTCATGGAATGGAAGTCATCTCCAACGACTGAGGAGAGACTGAAGACCCTTACAAAAGGCATTCTGGGGAAATGCCTAGAGTCTGGGTTGGCTCACAGGGTAAGGCTCTAACAAGTGGCCTCAGAATCACTGGGAGAAGATCACATAGAGAATTTCATAGCAACATGGAAGCCACAAAAAAAAAAAAAAAAAAAAAGCCAGCCAACCCTTCTAGACTCCCCCCCGTCCCCCCACCAAAGTAGACTCTGATAGGAGGGAAACAGCTCACACCTATAAGACACTACAGATGTCTCTCACAGCAGAGCTGCCGGGGTGCCACTTCCTAGAGATGCCTAGCAGCAGCAAAGGTGCTGGCATGAAAGGTTAGGGGATGTGAAGGGAGGTGGCGGGAGGGGAGGGTGACTCACCAAGCTGTACATGATGCACACGCCATCCGGGTTCACGGTGAGCGCCTCCTTGTACAGCTGCTTAGCCTCTTCTAAGTTGCCCTTCACCTCAGCCAGCCGGCCTCGCATGTAGAGCACCGAGTGAGAGGTGGGGAAGAGACCAGCAGCCTCCTGGATGCAGAAGCCTGCTTCCTTGAGGTGTCTCTGTTCCATGAACAGCTCAGCTGTGAAGACAGAGGGGCCAAGGGAAGTGTGAGTGGTGGTTAAGTCAAAGGCCCCAGCCCACATCCCTGAGCCAAGAATGCTGACGCTAAGCCCAGGAGTCATGACACAAGGCTACCTTGCTGTGAAGGGTTAGGGTAACACTGGGTATCCTGCTCAAAGTGCCTACTCTTGTCAGTCACCATGCTGGGTAATAACACCACCTCAGCCAATGCCACAGAAACCCCAGAGAAAGTACTTCCCACCCTCACCCCACATTAGAAACGCAGAACCACACAGAGAGAAGCTGATAGAGTTTGTGTCAGGTCGCCTGACTTTAGACCCGGCAGTGCGGAATAGTGTGGCTCAGGGTTGAATGCATGCTTGCTTGCATGTTGTTGAGACGTGTGTTTCAGTGTCTGTCCACTGTATTTGTTCATTGCTTCTCTGGGTGGATGGCGGGATAGGGACAGATCTAGTGACTCTCAGCCTCAGCAGACTAGCCGAGGGACTTACTAGGCCCTGACATGCTCAAGATGAAGTTGGCATGTGCTTGGAGCCCAGGAAGGAACAGAGTATTGTGAAGGATGGGGGCGGAGAGATCTGGGGCCTCTGATGAGGCACACACAGCTCAAACCAAGTGGTACAGTGACATGGCTACCACCTGTATTTAAAGAAGCTGACTGGGAGGCAAACCACAACTTCACAAGCTATTTTGTCTCATTAATCTTTACAGGTAGTCGATATCTTCACTATAAAACATTAAGCTGAGGCAGGGAGGGCCTTGCTCCAGCCCTCTTAAAGAAAGGATAACTGCGGACCGCCCGCCCACCCCAGCCTCTCTAAAGCTGACACACGCACACATGCACCCATACACACACCCTCCCCCCCATAGCCTCTCTCTAATGCTCACACGCCACGCCACACCACACCACACCACACCACACATACACACCCCTTGTGGCCTGCAGGCAGCATCAGATCCTCAGGCAGATAGATCTAGGGGAAGAGGTGCAGTTTCTTCCCATCCCCAGGCAGCTGCCAGAACTGTGCATTTCAGCCCCATACTGCACAGGCGTTCGCCCACCACAGACGCTTTTAGAAATGCCGCTCGCTGGCCCACTCTGCCTTTCTTTCCAAGCAGCCCCCAGGGCTCGGCCGCTCCCTCCAGAAGCCGGTGCCCATGCGGAAGTCACAGAAGGATGGCAACACAGATGGGGAGCGCGGGAGGCCAGCAGAGTCTGGCTTGTGGCTCTGCCAAGAGCTTTTCCTAGCATGGGCTGAATGCTGAGGTTACACCAGTTCAGAGCATGTCTGGGGTGGGGAAGGTAACAGACATTTCCAATGGAAACTCCCAGAAAGAGGTGGACAGACCTGACTCAGGCATCCCTTCTGCCTGTCAGGAGGAGTTTTTAGGCAGGGAGGCTACCTAAAGCTCACTGTGTAATCCAATCAGTTTGCCTCATCCCAAAATATCACAGCGTTTGGAGCACTGTTTCCTAATGGTGGTGAAGGAGCTGGGATAATCTGAGAAGAGAAATCGGAGCAGCCAAACTCTCATGCTGTGGTTAGAGGGACAGGTCAACACCTAAGGCTCCTGTCCTTAGAGGCAAAGTGATATCAGGAGATGGGGGCTTTCAGCCAGGACCTCACAGGGTGAGGCTGGCCAGTGGTCAGGGAGCTGGCTGTCTCCATCAGGCCTCCTTTCCACTCTTCTGCTGAGCCTTTGCACAGGCTGTGCTCACAACTGAGTCTATAAGGTACAACCACACTGAATACCGGCTACATGTTCAGCCCACCCATAAGGAGAGAAAACAGGGAAGTGGCAGTGGCGACCGAGGACAGTGACATGACAGGTAGCATTCCTGGGTGTTACAGGTACAGGGTGGGTCAGGTCAGGGCCACAGTGGTGTGGTCAAGGAGATTTTTCTAGAGGGGTTCACAGTTGAGCAGGTAGAAACAAGGGAGGCCAACCTGCAGGCAGGCTCCGCTGCGGCAAAACCCCCAGGGTACAGCGGAGACACAGGTGCCGTGTGAGGCTTGGTGGAGGGTGGATGCCCACCACACATGCGCGCGCGCGCGCGCACGCACACACACACACACACACACACACACACACACACACACACCAGCCCCTGTCGGGGAGTTCTCTGTGGACAGGAGCTCTGAGGAGCTAGGGTCAGACTCAATGCCTAAACCTCACTCAGCAGCCCCCAGGCTGGGCCCACTTGGCTCTGTCATGACTCATTAAGCTGTTTACAACTTGCTGCCCTGTGCCTCCAAGCCCCTGGGAGACTGTCCCTGGTCCCCACCTTGGGTACCACTCAGTGTGTACACATCAACAGATTTCAATTAGTGCTCCCCCAACCCCACCCTGACTTTCTGAGGCCCTGGGCCCAGTTGAGAAGCCACATCCCAAGGAACACTCCCTAGGAAGTGGGCTCCTCTGTTCTCTGATGGGTCTTTACCACACAGGAAGGAAGCCAGGTGACACGGCCCAGAGGCAGAGGCAGGTCTCCCAAGGGCTCTGGCCCAGGCTCCTTGGCAAGGCCTCCCAACTTGAAAGCAGCCACACAGCCCTGGGGGTTTCGGTATGCCATATCTTCCTCAGCTCCGTGTCCCTGGGCAGGTGCCCTCAGCTACAGCTTGCTGTTTTACCAAACATGGTGCTCTTAGCCAGCCAGCCGCCCAGGCAGCCGCCCAGGCAGCCGGCGGGCCGGCCAGCCAACTGCGACTGCAGAGGGAACCTGGTGGCATGGTGCCCACCACTGCCTGGATCTTCTTCCTTCAGATCCGGTTGTCAGGCCCGCCATGTCCACACCCATGCGTTCCCCTGACCAGGGCGGGGCTAGCACTCATTGCTACTAGCTTAGCCTCATCTAGGGCAGCTAGCAAACCTTTGTTCTAGAATCCTGAGAGTCAAAGCACATCCTTCCCCCTCCCCCAGCCCCTTGTCCCTCTTCCCCCCTGCCACCATCTCAGCCTCCTCGTCAGTCTGTTTCTGGTTTTCCTCCTTTGGTTCCCTCACTATTCTCCTCTGCTTCCTCTCCACAGGGTACAAATGGAGCTTTGCAAGCGTAGCTTTTATTGTTCTTCTCAGAGACATCCTGGCCTCACCCTGCACCCAGAGATGGTTCCAGTAGCCCTGCCACTCCTGCCAAGACCAGGGCTCTAGGCCCCAGACTGGCTAAGTTCACTCCCTGAGGCCCATTGCCACACTCTTGTGCAATGGGGGGGGGGGGTCTTGTCCTTAGCCTGGCCCAAGGCTGAGAAGCAGGGGGCCCTTCCAGAGGGTCTCAGGGCCTTCCCAGGTGAGAACCTGCCAAGACCTCAGAAAAGGGAGCCAACTGAGCAGGGTCTGGGACAGGAAATAGACGAGGATCTTCTCAACCTGTGAGCCATGATCCCCGTGGGTCCAACGACCCTTTCACATCAGAGATTCACATTATGATTCATAACAGTAGCAAAATTACAGCTATGAAGAAGTGGCAATGACATCATTTTATGGTTGGGGTCACCACAGCATGAGGAACTGTATTAAATGGCATTAGGAAGGTTGAGAACCACTGCTCTAGAAGGAATCTGCCTTGCCTGGCCTTGACCTCCATAGTGAGGACATTTTAACCCATATCAAAGGGGGTAAGTGTGGCTCCCACAAAGCAGGCCCTCAGGAGCTGTGGGCCTCAGGATAAGGGCAGAGAGAAAAGGACAGTGGGAATAGGGTGGAGACAGGTCAGTGGGGCACCAGCATTGAGTCCCAGAGAGCATGGCTGCCAGGGCCTAGGACCTCACTGGTCCTGACTGGGAAGCAGGGGAGAGGAAAATTGTAGAAGAGGTCCTCCAAGGTATCAAACACAGGAGGAGCAAGCAAGTAGGAGCCCAGCAAAAAGTCAAAAGACAGGAAGGGAATGGAGAGCAAAGATAGGTAAGAGGGTGGATGCCAGATGGCTTTTGTGATCCTTTCCTATCCTGTGCTGTCAGCCCACCTCTGCCCTGAAAGGCAGGGTCCCTCCTAAGAGCTCTGTTGTAACTTTAGAGTAAACATCAGCCCAGACACACACACACCCAGGGTGGCTTCCACTCACAGGATGAGGCCCCTAAAGCTCTCTGGCTGACTGGGGATTGGAGACCAGGTCCACGTCCTACAAACCCAGAGAGCAGAGAGCCATCCAGGAGTCCTTGAACCTCCAGGGCAGGGGAAGTCCTCGTTCGTGTCTATGCCCCTTTTCTCTGGTACACACTGTAAGCTGTCAGGGATGTTATCAGTAGTGAGAAGGAGGTAGGTGTGTGTGTGTGTGTGTGTGTGTGTGTGTGTGTGCGCGCGTGCGTGCGTGCGTGTGTCCATGTCCTCTTCTGGAAAGGAACTCTCCACATGGGCCTGGTCGCAGCTTTCCCATTCTCACAGACCCATTGCCCTGGAAGCAGGGCCCCTACCGCTCGCCTCAGTGCAAACCCTCCTGGAGGCTTGAGGGAGTGGAAGGAGAAGTAAGTGTGGGAGAGAAGGAGCAAGGCATTCCCAGCCAGGGTTGTTTCTCAATGGAATTTACCGACCAGATTTGGCTACAGTTCACCCCGAACCAAACGGGAGATTAGCTCATTCAGAAACGATGAAGAATCCTTTTCTTCCTTGCACATTCATAGCACCTGTTAGTATTCGTGTGTATGTGGGGGGGGGGCGGGCTGGGGGAGGTGCTGATCACTATATGCTTAGCCCGGGTCAGGTGGGGCACTTTGGGGAGAAGTTGTGGCCTTGGTGACCAGTCCTGGAAGCTTTTCCTCCAATAGGTACTCAGTACATTCTGGTGAAGATGGCAGCCCAGGGACAGATGATACAAATGGGACCCAATATGTTCAAGACGAGGGACCTAGGACACATTCTCTCACTCCCTTCTTGTCCATAGAAGCTGTGCCTCTGTTTATCCCTTGCTTCTGGGAGGACAGATCTCATGAATTAGTGAGGCACAGGGACATGCAGAATAATGCCAGAGTCCTTTGCAATTAGGGACAGTCAAATAAGGGAGCCCCTGCTAATGAATCATGAGGTGAAAGCGATGCATGCAAATTCTACCATGTGCCCTGATGGGAAGAAGGAGAGCCCTTTCCCTCCATGTTTATCTTCTGTCTCAGAATGGGAGTGTCACAAGGAACCACTGTGAACCATACAGATGTGAGCGATACCCTAGAGATGGCGGGCATCGCCTGAGGCTGTAGTTTCTGTATTGTTGAAATAAATGTTGTATAAGACGCCCCAGTTTCGGATCTGTGACCACACCAGATCCGTCTGCTGAAACCATGCTTTCTTCCCAGCTCTGACCTGTATCCATAGGCTGCTCTCAGACTTCTCTGTGCAGGGACATTTATGATAATGTCCAAAGCAGAAAGTGACTTACTGAAGGGTATGTTTATAGTGACACACCCAAATTTTGCTCCAGGTTTTGGAAGGCTTTTCACTTTCCTTGGAGTTATTACCAGCACACACCACTATCCCAGTATAAGGCAATGCACCCAAGAAACACAAGGCAGTTTCAGATGCATCCAAGTGCAAATCCCAGACACATCTGGAAAACAAAGGCCTAGAGAGCTACAGGCAGGGCTCAGGGGTGCAGCCCTTGGAGCTCCCATGACCATGCTGACTCCCAGCAGAGGCTCTGGTATGCCTCTCAGAAGGCAGGGAAGAAAGCAGGAACATCACTGTTTATCACACCTTCACTTCCTTCAGCATTCCCTTTCTTACTGTGCAGCCCAACCCCGGCTCCCCGAGCATCATAAGGAGTCCAGGGATGCTAAATGGGGCAATATTTGCATTCTTGCAATGCTGTCAATCTAGGCTTCCTGTGGATCCTGGTCCATTTTTCCCCCTTCAGATTCAGAGCCACGGCAAGAAGTGCGGGGGCTGGCTGCATACTAATGTGTCCATATGTGGAAAGCATGCCGTGAGTAGCCTTGGGTTCTCATTAATGAGCATCCCAGCTCTGACTTGCCAATACCACCTATCCAGGGAACTGATCGTCTATTGCTTTCTACTCCATCCCCCTCCTTGGAGATGATAGCCCATTCCTATGAGGACAGGGAGGAGGGTGAGACAAACCCAGGGGAAACACGGCCCTGGAGCCCAGTCTTTGGCAGTTTTTGGACCAAAGGCAGGGTATAGGTTCAGGTCTCCTCTCATCCTCTACTTGGCCCAAGATGTTCTATTCTACTGTTCATTCTCATTCTGGATTTTCTTTTCCCTGTCACCCACCACTCCACGGTCAGGTTAAGTCTCCAAACACTTTCTTGCAAGTCACTCCTCGGCATTTCTGTGGGGCCCACGGCCACAGGGTGGCTACAGAAGCCATGTGCTAGGGGCCGAAAACCCACCATGTGCCATACTAACTGCTTTCACTTGTGGATCGGTTATTACACCCCAGGGCTAGCCGGGTATCAGCCTGCATGACTCCAGCCAGGGCTTCCAAAAACCCATCCTCTAGCACTCATTTGCCTGTGGGAACAGTGCTGGCTGGGGATCAAAAGGTATGTCACCTGGACAGCAGTCTCCATGGCATTAGCCCTCTGGACTGTTTATCTGAGCAGCCTCTCCCGACCTCAAACCACTCACATTACTGCCACCAGGAACCTCTCAGGTTAGGGAGGCAGACATTCTCCCCACTGGGCAAAGAAGGGACCCCACAGCCAGCCAGTCAAGACAAGCAGAAACCTCAGGGGAAGGGAGGTGGGTAGTCTTGTTCTTCTCCTGAGGCACTTAGACAAGATCTCAGTATCTGAGTTCTGAGCAGGGATGGGGAACTTTCGGGGTGGCGGGGGAGAGGTAAGTTGGGAAAAAGAACTATACTCAGGAGTATAAGCCTATTAAGTCTCATCAGAAATCTCCACCTCCCCACCTTCATCTGGGCATCTGGTGGTTTCATATGCAGATGGGCATGTCAGTGGATCAGGGGACACTCACCAGCCTGGAGCCAGATCTGTTCCAGCGTGGTCCACAGCTGCATGGGGCCCTGCTTTAGGACTGAGGTCGTTATGGTCAGCTCCGACATGGCCTCCTCCAGCCTTGAGGCAGCAATAGATGACGCCCGCCGAGAGCCTGCCAAATAAGAGGGCATAGGGCTGAGCAGAAGTCAGGGTACCACATGCTGCTGGCCTAGCAGCAGTCAATGCCCAGCAGCACACGGCAGAAGGCATCCAGGGCAGCTGCCAAAAAGCAGCTCGCGGACCCTAGGGAGGGTCTTCTGCCCGCTCCTCTCCAAGGGGAAATCGCCGTAAATGGCAGCAAACATGCTCATCTCACTCTTGCCTTAATGCAGAAAAATAGAAAAATGACCCAATGTTCGACAACAGGGGCTGAGTAAAAACAAGTGAAAGTATGGCCATGCAAGGCTCCGAAGACATTACAACCAACACTCTGTGTGGCACTGGTATGAAAAGGCATTCACATTATTCAGGTGAACGGACACAATCACATTAAAACAACTTAAACATGGGTGTGCATGGGAAGAATGCTAAAAAGCCTTTCCTTGGATGGTAAACGGAGGAGGGGTGATTTTTTATCTTTCTTCTTTTGTGATTTTTGACTTTCTGTTTCCATAGTACACACTGTTTCACTTATGTTAAGACCCCACCCATTTATAACTGGGAGGTAAAAGATCCCTGGGCAATGGCTCATGGCTAACCTATACCCTTGGAGAACCTCTCTGGCTGTGGCCGTGGGTGGTACAGGCCAGACTCAGGATATATAGGCTGTTGACATTTGAAATTCCCTTGCAGGTGAAACACGAGCACTTTCTCTTTCTCAGAGGCAATAAAGGCCCCAATAAACTCAGGAGGCCTGGAGACAAACCAGAGATGACCGGTTTATGAGACAAGGACACAGGAAGCCCTGATAACGATGCAATTCTTCTCTCTTTAATTACACACACCATGCCCTTCCTTGGGGATGGTGGTTCCCCAAGCAGCCAGGCACCCTTGCAGTGTGACTCTGGGGTCAAGCCCTGGGTTTGGCTAGTGAAATCCACTCCATCTCTCTTAACAACAAAGCACAGTGTAACTCAGGTTCCCAGAGGTCGGCAGGGATAAGAACAGTTTTACCAAGTCCCACTGCCCTCACATTTCCATTCTGTGACTAATTTCTCAAGTGTCATTGAGCAAGGTGTTCTGCTGGAAGCAGGTCCTCAGTTTGTAATTCCTGATTCTCATTTGAATTTCATGAGCCCTGGGTTTCAGGGTGAGCTTTTCTAGTAAAGAGTCGTCAAGCTTGAGGAGCTGGAGAGATGGCTCAGTGGTTAAGAGCACTGACTGCTCTCCCAGAGGACCTGAGTTCAATTCCCAGCATCCACATGGCAGCTCACAACTGTCTGTAACTTCAGTTCCAGGGGACCAGATACCCACAGACAGACATACATGTAGGCAAAACATCAATGCACATAAAATAAAAATAAATAAATAAATAAATTTTAAGAGTCAACCTTGAGCTTTGAACCAAACTGAGCTCTGCCCATTCATTTCTGCTTGTGCCCTGGCCACCCCCCCCCCCCCCCAGCCTCTGGCTTTGGTCTGAGGAGCTGCAGTCTCTGTCCAGGCCATATTTCTGTTCCATTCTCTCCCACTCCTCTCCCCACTCTGCTTAGGAGGTATGGACCTTCTTCTGTTGCCCACAATGGGTGGCCACCACCCATCTGTGGGCCAACTGCCAGCCCCACCCAGAGCCAAGATCAACCCCGGTCTTACCAGAGTCTGCATCATGGGCATCTGGCAGGGTCAGGTGAATGCCGTTCTGTTTCTTCACTGCGAGGCCTTCAAAGCTACCATCCCTTTCCAGGCCTCTGGAAGGCAAAGGAGGGCAGGACTCCATGATGCAGAGGTCTAGCATCCCCAGGGCCAGCAGGGAGCACGAGGCAATCCCATTTCAGCAGACTCTGAGGCCAGAGTCTGAGGTGTAGCCAGAGTAGCAGGGAAAGACAAGCAGAAAGACAGACAGACCAGCATGGGTCCTGTACACACAGGCTGACGACAGGAACACACCACCGTATCCATGCCCTCTTTGAAAGTGAGGCCTCTACCTCCAGGCACAGGAACTGCAGGCTGGCTTCTGTCTAAGGACAGCCTGGGTGAAGGTGCAGTTGCCACGCTCAGACTACGGGCAGCCCCAACAGACAAACAACCGTCGTGGTATCATTTTTGTTTTCCATCCATTTCTCTAGGTCCCTACATCTCCCACCCCACTTTGCATGCGGGGGCGGGGGGTGGTGGTGGTGGTACTTTCATTTTCTCAGTGTGGGAGAGCCAAGAGGGAGCCCTTGCTCAGAAAGGCGGCTGTTGCACGCTTGGTCAGCACCTTCTCATGGTCAAAGAAACTCAGGAGGGAAAGGTGCCAGAGGTGTCTTCCCATTGGAGGTACACTAAGATGCTGGCTCCATAGGTGATGGTGTCACAGGCCAGGGCATCTCTGTGGTCCTGACCCGGGTTCACACTGGTCCTGACATGGTTTGTAATTGCTCAGCCATCTTGAGTGGGCTTCAAAGAAAACCACCTCTCCAAGAATAGCAGATCAGGGGTGTCCTTTCCTTTGCCACTGTGGTGGGCTGAATATGAACAGCTCATATATCTGAATGCTAGCACTATTTGAAGGGTACTATTTGAAAGGATTAGAAGAATCGGGAGGTGTGGCCTTGTTGAAGGATGTGTGTCATTCGGGGAGGGCTTTGAGGTTTCAAGCCCTGTCTATCTCTTCTCTGCTCCTCTCTCTTTCTCTCTCCCCTCTCCCTTTTCCCCTTCCCCTGTCTGCCTGCAGATCAGGATGTACCTCTCAGCTACTGCTCCAGCACTGTGCCTGCCTGCCTGTCCCCTGCTATAATCACAATGGACTAAGCCTCTGAAACTGTAAACAAGCCCCAATTAAATGCTATCTCTTATAAGGTTGCTTTGGCCATGGTGTCCCTTCACAGCAATAGAACAGTGACCCAGACTTTCCCTAATCCTGAAAGCACCTCAGTAGGAAGTCAATAAGCCTGAGACAAAAGGCTGAGATGATGTCTTATACCTTCCCGCCTCTCTGATTTTTCTCATGGTTCTTTTGAAAACAAGCAGGAGGCGAGGCTCAGACACCTGCACAGAAGCCTACATCAGTGTTCACTTCCATCCAGGCACCCAGCATACTTTTTCTCTTTTCCCATGAGAGCCTCTCCTGAGGCATTGAAACAGCCTGCCTTGGGGAGACTGTTCCGCATAGTTTATGGTTAACATGTCACATGTTACTTTGAAGGACAGCTGAGTGGCTGCTGGGTGGCAGTAGCTTCAAGAAGGAGGGACTGGGGGTGATGGGAACCAGCAGTGTGGTTTGAGCAGAACACAGGGGCATTGGGCGGGGAGTGTTGCAGGCTGGCTGGGTCCGCGGTGGGTAGATCAGATACTCATGCTGTGGATTTTGGTCTTAGTTTATGATTGCCCCAGATTAGATTTTATAAGCACTGGCTTCTGGTTTATGGCTCTAAGTTTCAAAGAAAACCCCTTCCTGTCTGTCTCCTGAGGCAGCCACGAGGTGCTGGACCCAGATTTGTGGGCCAAGCAGTGGCTTGGTCCTGCTGTATGCTGGGCTCAGGGAGCTGCATGGTTCCCTGAAGAGGCTTCTCTGCATTGTCAGCTCCTCCCACCTCTCGGAATGGACCAGCTTGTGTGTGTTGACTGCGAACATCAGGGTAAGCTCACCTGTCCCTGCCCCTGTGAGAATACCTGGCAGCTCCACAGGCTGCTGCTCTGAGTCAAAGCTACCACTCTGTGGGGCCTTGTCTAGACTGGCCGCTGGGATGTGCAGCCTATCCACCAGCCCGATCAGGAGCAGCCAGCTCCAGGGCAACTCCTGTGCAAACTGAGCCAGGCTGTGAACCTACTCCAGCAAAAGGCATTTGAATGCAAATCCACCTGTATCAGAGCATGGTCCTTGGGCTACTCCTTGTGTAAAAAATCCATCAGCTACAGCTTTCTGGAAGTTTCTGCCGACTAGTTCAGCCCTGCTTTGGAATATTCCAGGCCCGGTAGCCTGCAAAGGGAAGGCTGACTCTGACTGAGGCTTTTGACTCCATCCCATCTCCTGGGTCTCCTGATTTCCCTAGAAGAGAGGTTCCTCTAAGGAGAATGGAGGACTTCTAGGTCCCTGTACATAGGCTCCATGGTTGGGACTCAGGGCTCACTCAATAGGTAAGCAACTGGCAAATTAAACAAAGGCTCCAGACCTCAGCCTCTGATAATGCAGAGGACATGGGTTGCTGATGTGTCACATAAAGTAAGAAGCCTGGGACCTGACTCAGGCACTGAGTGATGGCTTTTCTACCTTCCCACCACCCTGAGCTCAATCTAACCGGGGTTTTGTGTGTGGTACACAAGACTGTTGAGGGATTGAAACTGATCCAAGGATATAAAATATCCCTCAACACCAAGTCCCAAATCTCCATCCAAACCAACAACCACATTGTGTAGGCACTGAGGCCTTTCAGAAAACTGTCACCTGCCAACCCTGCCCTCTACCCTGGGGCAACCCAAGGGGCAAGGATAGCACTTACCCCAGCTGAGAGAAGTTGTAGAGGGTCTGCCACAGTCTCAGCATTTGCCTGCAGGTCACGAGGGCTTCCTCCGGACCCTTCAGCACCTGCTCCAGTTTCACCTTGGTGAACATCAGGCTATGGGGAAGGAGAGCCAGTCAGCAGGCCCTCCAAGGGTGAAGCTGGAGGGTGGCGGTGTGTGGGGGGGTCCCACATGCTCACCACCTCCCCAGCTCACAGAAGGCATGCCTCTGCCATGCCCATCAGACTTGTCTCCATGCCTCAGTTTCTTCCCCTCTTCATACCAAACAATGAGACGATACCTTTCAGCATTTGCTGGTGCCTGCCCTGTCCACCCTACCGCCCGCCTTTGTTGGGCGTATCTCCCAGCCCCACCTGGTGTGTTCTCCCCTACAAGCTGAGCTAAGCACCTTGAGTCTTGCCAACATATGGCCAGGGTTTCTACTTCTGTGCCCAACAAGGCACAGGATGGAGTCTCAGTGAGAACCACTCTTAGAAAACAGTCTTTTATCTCCTGTGTATGGATGTTTTGCTGTGCGTGGATGACTGGGCCACACCCCTGCAGTCAGAAAGCAGCTTCGGATCACTACCTTGAACACATCAGCAGAGGCCAAAGCATTTAACCCAGATCATTAGCACTCTTGGTTCACGAAGGACTAGGAAGGGCCAGGAAGCCCTGCTGGGTCAAGTGCTAGCCTTACCTTGTTATCGAGGCCCACCTGTGCTGGGAGAGGGGACCAGGCGGCATGCAAGTACCACAGTGTATCGGTGTTTCCAGATCAGCACACTGGCAACACAATTATACAGCAGCTACCGGGGCAGCCTTTGCAGAATCTCGGCTGGACCACTGAGACCTGCACATGGCTGGCTGAGTTCCCAGAGTGTTCAGCAAGCAGTGAGGCCCACTGCTGAGATGATCAGCACGACATAGACCTGGTCACTATCTGTGCTGAAGCATGCCTGCTCCAGGAAAGCTGAGTTGTGTTTTCCATAGGCTCTCATGTAGCTAGGATTGTCTAGAGCTCAGCATGTAGCTGAGAACGGCCTCGACCCTCGGCTCCTCCCACCTCTGCCAACCATGTGCTACGAATGCAGATATGTGCCTGCATGAACAAACCTCTTAAAAGAGGCTGCATCTGGCTGTGAACCGACACTCCTGAAGGAATCCGTCTGCCGAGGCTGACTGGCTGATCAGTGTCAGGACCATGGAGAATGGAATACTGCAGGTCCAGAGGCTAACTACCTGATCTTAGAATAAGTTCTGGGCCCTCCTGAAAAGCCATTCCTTGCCTACATCGATGTTGGAACTAAGTCACAGTGACTTAGCAAGCAACTACCTTCTAACAATCCCAAAACCAAGTACACCATCAGATAGCACCCAGAACATATAGAAAAGCTTCCCACATCTCGCTGTCCCTGCCTCTCTGATGTACCCACCAGTGTTATTTATTTTGGTTTTTTTGAGACAGGGTTTCTCTGTGTAGCTTTGGAGTCTATCCTGGAACTCACTCTGTAGCCCAGGCTAGCCTCAGACTCACAGAGATCGGGCTGCCTCTGCCTCCCGAGTGCTAGGATTAAAGGCGTGTCCCACCACAGCCCAGCCCCACCAGTGTATTTTAAACATGCCCAGATTTATGACTTTCTCTGTTATGCCACAACTCTAAAACCTTTTAAAATGGCTTCCATGTTGGAACATGGTATTTGGGGTAATCTAAATCTGTGTTCCCGGGACTGCGGTCTGATGTGGGATGTCCTTCTATATGCTGTGAATGTGTGTTGCTTTTATCAGATGATGAATAAAGCTGTTTTGGCTTATGGCAGGGCAGAATATAGCTAGGCAGGAATACAAGGAAAAAGAAAGTAGAGTCAAGAAAGATGCCAACAGCTGTAAGAAGAGTAAGATGTCAGACCATTACTGGTAAGCCACAGGCCACATGGTGATACACAGATGAATAGAAATGGGTTTACTTAAATGTAAGAGCCAGTTAGTAATAAGCCTGAGCCACTGGCCAAACAATTATAGTTAATATCAAGCCTCTGAGTGGTTATTTTATAAGTTACTGTGGGACTGGGCGGGACAACAGAAAAGTTTCTGTCTATAGTGGTCATTCAAAATGATTCCAGAGTAAACTAGCTCTTATTCCTTTAAGACAAGAGCTATGGTTTTTGTTTTTTTTTTTTTTTTTTTTTTTTTTTTAATGTCAACACTGTTTTGTGTGATCTTAGAGATTTACACTGAGCCTCTTGCATGTTACAAAAGCACCTACCAAATTTTTTGTTGTTTTTTGGTTTGGCTCTTGAAATAGGGTCTTGCTATGGAGACCTGGCACACCTAGAACTCTTCATGTAGACTAGGCTGTTCTTGAAGTTGTGGATGAACCACTTGTCTCTGGGACTACAAGCATGTACCATCACGCCCAGCTCAACCCAGACTGTAAGCTCCAGTTTCCCCAACCCTTCTACAACCCTTCTTGAACATCGGCTCACGACCCATGCTCTGTGAATGAGGTCCTGAGGGCAGGAACTGGGCAGAACAGGGCCAAGCCCTGAGGGGACAGCTGCGGGGATAATGGGGGCCACTAGCATCTCTCCTTCCCAGGTCCCCACAGAGCCCAATATGCCAATGTTAGGAGGTGCCTCTGCTTTCGGGAATATGAAGTAGGAGAGACAAGTAAGTTCTGCCTTAAGGCAATAATTAGAGTGCTATAAATGTTAAAATGCTGTGTGTTTGGATCTGACCCCAGTGTAAGGGAAGGAACAAGGAAGGGGGTCTTGCTGGAGCTGGGTGGAGATAGCTGGGAGTATAGGAGTGTGGGAGAGTATCGGAACTTGAACTGGGCAGGAAGACAGTGAGTGGCACTTAGAGCCAGGGTGTTGGTGGGGGTGGGGGCCAGCCTAGGCCAACCTTCCCTTAGGTAGCCAGAACAGCAGTTCTAGGCCAGTTACCAGGGCTGACCAGCCCCCAGCTTTCTGGGACTCTCCACAGACAGCCTTCTCAGCCAGGGCCCCCTTCCCACTGCTGCCACTAAGTCATACCGAAATCCCAGTGTCAGAGCTAGGAGGGTTCCTGGGAGAGGCCAGAAGTGTCATGCACATGGGATAGACAAAGCTGAGCTGGACAAACAGCCTCTATCAACACAGGCTATGTCCTGCTGGTGGTTGACATTCCACTCGCATGAGCGACCTGGAGTGGAATTTCTCAACCCAACCACATCCTCCCTGGGTTGGGCCAGAGGTTCCAACATCACCCTTGAGTGTGAGCCCCAGGCTGAGGGGCCCGAGGCTCCAGATTAGCTCCTGAGGAAAATTCCTTGGTAGGTAGTTGGACACTGCCAGAGGAATCTTACAACAGAACTTGTCTGGCCTGATGTCCACGCCATCAGGACACATGCACCAGTGTGGCTTCTTCCCCTGTGACCTTGGGCTAATGGCATTGGTGTCAACAACTCCTTGACACTTTTTCCTGCTTTGTTTCACAGTGTGGCCTCTGCTGGGGCTCACCCTTCCCCCTGCCACATCTCCTACACGGATGTCACCTCCAACTTTCTCAGTATCTCCATGGGGCTGTGTCTTAGGCTTTCTATTGCTGTGAAGAGACACCACGACAACTCTTAGAAAGAAAAACACTTAACTGAGGTTGTGGCTTACAGTTCAGAGGTTCAATCCATTATCATCACGGTGCAACGTGGTGCCTGGGAGTATGGCAGTGGGCAGGCAGACATGGTACTGGAGAATGCAACATCTTGATCCAAGGGCAACTCGGACACTGGGTGGTATCTTGAGCATCCATCAGACCTCAAAGCCCACCTCCACAGTGACACACTTCCTCCAACAAGACCACACCCACTCTAACAAGGCCACACCTAATAGTACCACTCTCTTCGGGGGCCATTTTCTTTCAAACCACCACAAGTTGTACGCACCCCTTTCCAGTTTAAGCCTTCACAATGTCTGGAAGTGCACACTGTTGGCCTGTCTCGAACTCAGGGATCTAACAACTCAGGTTCATAAAGAATATGAATCCAGTTCTTCTCACAAAGACATTTGTATCTAGCCCAGAAAATGAATCATTCCCTACCCAACCATTGTGACTGGTTGGAGGTATGGTCATGGCCTCATCAGAACCCTGTGCTTCCAGGGGAGCTTCTAGGGTACAGGTAAGGCAGAGAACAAGTTTGGCTCTCCCCCACCTTCAGGCCCATCACACGCCATATAGATGAGTCTAAAAAGTCTTTGAATAAGTAATAAGACTTTAGGAAAAATTCCAAGGCTCAGGTCCTCCTTCAAGAAGCCCCTAGGTAGACTGTGTATTCAGTTGGTACTTAATTACACGCCATGTCTCTCTCTCTTGCTTAAAAATTTAATAATAAAGATAGGTTCATATGAAGTTGTTTTAGCCAGATGGTCTAGGAACAAGTGTGTGGCCAGTCCTGGTGTAGGTAGGAAAGTCACCATTTATCTTTGTGTCCCCTTGGCTTGCGCCAACATGGCCAAGAAGTTCTACCAGCTCGCTCATGGAGCAGCAGTGTGTCTGGCTTCCCTACTTCCTGGGTGGGCACTTAGCACACAGTGTATACTTAGCCTGGGAGTCTGATCACTTGAGTTCTTATAGCTGCAGTGTGGGAGGAACACACAACACCAGGCAGGCGACATACTGGTCAATTCCAGCCCAAACTGCTCACAAACAGGTCTGACCTCACAGGACAGGCTCTGGGGAGGTTCTAGGTGTGCCTTGTGGGTTCTAGATGTGTTGAGTGGGTCTCAGGTGTACCGCATGGGTTCTAGGAGTGCTGTGGGTTCTAAGTGTGGTATATGGGTATCTGGCTCTTTCTGACTGGGGATGGAGGCCTTCCTCTCTGGGGTCAAAGGCAAAAATGTGTCAGGCACTCTGACAGAAGCTATTCCAGGAGAGGGAGGGTCAGCTTTGGCCACATTATTGTCATTAAACTGCATCATGAAAACTGGCCTGGGCGATGGAAACTTGGACCAAGGTCCCATCTCTGTTGAGCATGTCACAGGTTCCAGACCTGTAAAACAGGAGGGAAATCACCTACTCGCACACTCCCCAAGAGGCTGAGCCCTGATGAGCTAGGAGCAGCAACTGAGAAACCCCAGGG